TGGCTCACTACAACAAGCGCTCCACCATCACCTCCAGGGAGATCCAGACCGCTGTGCGCCTCCTGCTGCCCGGTGAGCTGGCCAAGCACGCAGTGTCTGAGGGAACCAAGGCTGTCACCAAGTACACCAGCTCCAAGTAAACTCTCACTGCCGCAAACTCAACAAAGGCCCTTTTAAGGGCCACGCAAATATCAACAAGAGCATGTGTTTCCTTAACCCTTTATTGGGTTCCCAGTAAAGTGATTTAAAAATCTAATTTCACTTTAAAATTGATCTAGAAATGAGTAAAAAATTAAGTGTATTTACCAATAATTTCAGCACAATGTCTTGTCCTGGATTCCAGTAACACTTGTCTTAAGCACTGGAAAAAAATTGAAATCTAGATAAGCCTTATTTTTTTCTTAAAATAAGTGCATTTGTTCTTGGACATCTGGCCAATGGAATAAGAAAACAATGGCATTGTCTTATTTGAAGTTATCCAAATGTTCAAGAATAAAATCCAATTTATCCAAGAATAAAAATACAGCAAACCATCTCATTCTTAAAAGGCAAGGACAATTTTCTGTTAAACTGCGACATTGTGGGGACCAACCCTCCATATGGGGACTTTCATCACTGGGGGAGATTACTGTTTTAGGCAAAGGTGTAGGTTTAGGACTAATGTGTGAATAAAGTTTTGGATAGGGTTAGGTATGTACCTGTAACCTCCAGATTCCACATCCTCCATCACCGCACTGCTCCTCCCCACTCATGTACGTGGTGTGGAGCGCTTGCAGTCATGTTAATCTATGAGAACCGTTCCACATCCACCGCTACTCTTCTGCACGTCTCTATCCACGTACTTCTTGAATGGGAAAAAGTGACGTCATTTTTAGTAGTAAGAATAACATTTCAAATATCTGAAATGTTCACTTTAGATAGGAGGAATATTAATAAACAGTGTTGTATAAAGTACTGAAATCTCAGAGTCAAGTAGAAGTATAAGTAATATGACCAAAATATGACTTTGGTAAAAGTCCAAGTCACTGACTGAAATGTTACTTGAATAAGTCTTAAAGTATCTGAAATGGCTTGTACTTAAGTATAAGAATTACTGTAAAAATAGATGTACTCAATTAATGTAGTGAAAAGTATAAGTTAAAAGTAGTGCAGTTTGAATGACATTTTTTTACATTTTGGTAAACTTTGAAGGTTAAATTCACTTAAAATAATATAAACAACCAAGTGTAGGATAAATTTAGACTGGCTTTGCGAAAGAGGCGTATCCTATTGGTGTTGATGAACAAGCCCAGGCAAGACCCGACTTTGCAGTCAGTAGGTGGGGTCAAAGCACTTGCGTTTCTCTCGCTCTTTTTTTTTTTTTTTTTTACTTAGTAACTAAGCCAAACATTGAAAATGTATCGGAGTAAAAGTATGCAATTAAGTTCGTAAATGTAGTGAAGTAAAAGTGAAAGTTCTCAAAAAAAATGTATACTCTTGGTAAGTATAAAGTACTCCAAAATATACTATATATATAATATAAGTACAGTAGTGAAGTATTTTTACTTCGTTACTATACAACACTGCTAGTAAAGGTATTTGAAATGGATATCTGGTCAAGAAAATATATATCAAAACAGCCTCTTAAATGAAGTAAAGATTTGTAGATATCTGAAATGTAGTTCTTATTAATACAAACTGACTTTCAGCTTACTTAAAATTTCATTTCAACTGGTAGATATCTAAAATACAATTCTTACNCACCTTATTAAGTTATTGATATGCCGCACAATGTCCTCCTTTTTGGTGCTATAGAAATGGCCACCCTATCTGAGGTGGAAGCTGGCTCAAAGCTCGTCTGCCTGGCTCCTGAACAGGGTCGCCTGTACAGCTGGTTTACAGTTGCAGCCAGTCGACCTCGGCAGATGGCTGCTCGCACTGAGTCTGGTTCTGCAGGAATTTTTTTCCTGTTCAAAGGGAGTTTTTCCTCTCCACTGTCGCTACAATCATGCTTAGTGTGAGGGATTGCCTCGAGTAAATGAGTCAATGAAATCAACTGGTTTTCCTTAGATAGAAAACTTTGATCTGATTGTAAGGTGCCTTGAGATGATGTGTTTTGAATTGGTGCTATATAAATAAACTGAAATGAATTTCATTAATCAAATGAACATAGAAGGGTTACAGCTTTGACAGTAGAGTTATAGTTGTACAGTTAGTTGGTTTACTTAATTTGAGTAGTAGGTCTACATCCTTCCCATAAATTATAAATTCTCATTTTTATTTTATTATTATTATTATTTTTATTTTTTTTGTCCAGTGCATTGGTCCTTGTACCTCTTCCTTAGATTATTAGATTTTATTGCTGTACCATTTTCTCTAGTAACCACAAACAGGAAAAAGAGCTGGAAGGGAACCAAACTTTCTCTCAGTTGTTTATGTTTCAACACCTATCTAGGAGTCTTATGTTTAAGCAGCATGGAGCTTCATTCCAAGTCAGATGTTCTTTGTTCTTCTGGATTGTTGGAGCTTTCTGTTGTTCATGAGCTGTTTTTGAACATTGATAGATAAAAACGTTGGTTACGTATTTTAACACCAGATTCTATGAATATAGGTGTAGCCCTTTATCAAATACAACATAAAGCTCAAAAGGTTTCTTGCTGTGAAGCTACAACAAGCTCCCAACCCATCCCCCCCTCTCACACGCACCAGTAGCTGCTCTAACCTTCCGAGCATGTAGACCAATCAGAGACAGGGTACAGCACAGACTCTTTTACATACACCCTGTATATAATCACCGGTATCCTCCTCCAACTCATTCGTTGTTGTTTCCAGGAACACATCAGGATGCCTGAACCCGCCAAGTCTGCGCCCAAGAAGGGCTCCAAGAAAGCCGTGACCAAGACCGCCGGCAAAGGAGGCAAGAAGAAGAAGAGAAAGACCAGGAAGGAGAGCTACGCCATCTATGTGTACAAGGTGCTGAAGCAGGTGCACCCCGACACCGGCATCTCCTCCAAGGCCATGAGCATCATGAACTCGTTCGTCAACGACATCTTCGAGCGCATCGCCTCCGAGGCTTCCCGCCTGGCTCACTACAACAAGCGCTCCACCATCACCTCCAGGGAGATCCAGACCGCTGTGCGCCTCCTGCTGCCCGGTGAGCTGGCCAAGCACGCAGTGTCTG